ATTACTGTTCGAACCTTCCTAACTATTCAATTATATTTTTTTCTTTGTATTTCATACAAATTAAGTATTATTTATTTTGTCGTGAGCATAATCGGTAGAGAATCATTTAATTGTATTTTTCTCATTGTATTTCAAACAAATTAAATATTATTTATTTTTTCGTGAGCATAACCGGTAGGCAAGATATATATTTATGAGTCATTTCTTTAATAAAAAATAAATTTAATTATTCTTCAAATGATTTTATATTAATTTGTAACTCATTAAAATTAAATATTTTATCTTATATTTGTTTTGGGATTCCTGAACTTTTTGTATTTGTAACATTAGTTAGATTAAAAAACCTTTGCAATTTAAAATATAATTTTATTTATATGAAATCTTAAAATTAATAAATATAAAATATTAGTTTCGTTGCTCAGTAAACTTTACAAATAATATATACCTGATAATAATTTCGTTATAATTATCATGTATAATTTGTTTAATAATATTTTATTTATTAACCATTCTATTTAATCTAAGATAAGTTTTATAAGAGATAAGAGCTCTTATACGTTATATCTAATATCTAATGCCTATAATAATCATTTTAAAGATGTAATAAATCCTTTGTATTCCGCTTACATGTTACTACAGTGATAACTCTTCATAACTAATTAGTTATGTTAACTTCAGTTTAAGTGGTTAACTGGATAAATTAATTAAGCCTAATTGTCGATAGTCTGTCGATAATAAATTACTACTGTAATTGATTCTAACCCTTATCAAATAGACAATTTTCATCGGTGAAAACTTTTTTTAAACCAATTTTTTTTGTTATTAATTATTTCCATTAATTTCATATGGACAAATTATTTTATTAATTTTATTCGTCCACTTGAATTATTTTATTAATTTTATACGAACACTTTCTTGAATGAAGAAAATACTTGGCAGATAACATGTATACAGTGAGTTTACTTACCTAGTAAAGATTTTACTATATTTATATTTTTATTTATGTATTTATTATTACATCTTATATATATAATTCTTCTGTACGTGTGTTGACAGTGAACTCCTCCTAAACGGCTGAACCGATTTTGATGAAATTTTTTGTGTGCGTTCAAGTGGATTCAAGGAAGGTTTAGATTCACAATTTTGCCTACTGGATAATGTCTTTTTAATTAATTTTTTATTTTTTGGTATCCATATACTTTTATATTAGAAATTTAAAATTTATTCATGCTTACTTTGATTTGTTTAAAAAGTTTAAAATCTCTAAAATGAATCGTAAAACTGCCGTTGCATAGCTTAAGTGCATTTAAATTCCGCATTATAAATCGTTTGGCAACCGATCTATTAAACAATGATATGCAGCGCGAATTTCAGTATAGCTCTGAAGATTTGGTTGAATTTGTTACAAGAAGCGAACAAATCTTAACGCACCAACAACATGTCATTTATGATCGGGTTTCGAACGCAATTGCGGCAAAAAAAGAAGGCGGCTTTTTTTCTTGGATGCACCAGGAGGAACTGGAAAAGCTTTCTTAATTTCAGTCATTCTTGCAAAGGTTAGAATGCAAGGAAATATCGCTTTAGCACTTGCATCATCTGGAATCGTTGCGACATTGTTAGATGGTAGTAGAACAGCCCATTCGGCTCTAAAGTTGCCACTAAACATACATTCATGTGAAAATGGGGTATGCAATATTAAAAACCATTTAAATATGGCTCAAGTATGTCACATCATTGTTTGGGATGAATGCACAATGTCACATAAATATTCATTGGAAGCATTAAATGAACACTTAAAGATTTAAATGCCAACTATAGACTTTTTGGAGGCGCTTTAATTGAAAATCAATGCTTGCCTAAAATTTTGTGGCGAAGTGTCCATATATTGCGACTTACCGAAAACATGCGTATTGGACTACAGAGCGATTTAGCTGCAGAACTGTTTGCCAAACAATTGCTGGATATTGGTAACGGAAACGTAAGTCTTCATGAAAATACGCACTTTATTAAATTGCCAGAAAATGGTTATAAAATTGTTAATTCGGAAGAGGAGTTAATAGAAAACGTATTTCCTAACATATATCAAAATTATCAGAACCATCAATGGCTTCAAAGTAGAGCGATTCTGGCTGCCAAGAACTTAGATGTCGATGAAATCAATTTCAAAATTCAAGCTAAGCCTTCTGATCAATATATATACGTACATATTGTTCATGACTTAGCTTTAAGTTAACATTATAGCCCATAATAAAACTGTTAATATAATATTAAAAAAACCTTTTGTCATGTAAAATGTAGTGCTTATAAGGATTTGAAGTAACATGAAAATATTTGTAACATAAGTAATGCATGTGGACTTTTTGTAGTTCAAAAGAAAAAATCAATTCAAAATAATTTTAGCATTAAAATGTTAAAGGTTAAGTTGAATAACAACAAATACTATAACTCAGCTGAGCCAGGAAAATTAATTGCAAGGGGAAACAACGTTCGCCGGGTCAGCTAGTAAATTATAAATCCAGATTTATAATTTCAAAATTTATCCATAGATATATTTAGATAAAATTCACCCGTGTGTGCTATACAAATAATTGTTTTATTATTGCCGGGTTTGCAAATAAAACAAGCCGGTTATGTTATTTTATATTTACCATACGTACCATATGTATGAATACTAAAAATAAATTCAGAAATTTATTTTAGCTATTTTTATTTTTATTTTGTAATTAACATCTGCCCCAAAATTTGGTAAATTTTTTACCTATCATACAGTATATATATTAAAACGTTGAACATATGAATGTCCTCCTTGACAAAACATAAAAGACATACTAATACCATATTACCGTATTAATACATAAATTTAATTATTTATCTAATATTCAAAATATTTCATTATTATAATTTTATTATTGAAATTCTTTTAGTAGTATTAAGTACTAATTGCTTCATTTGTTACTAGAATGGTTAATAAATATATACAATAAATAAAAAATACAAACGATTCAATTTAATTTGTCAGCAAAAGGATTTTATTTTAATAACAGTTAATGACTAATGAGGTCTAATTTGTCAGTTGATGACTTTGTATATTTTTCTAATTCTATTTATGTTCGGTTATATTAAAATTTTATTGAAGAACTTACTAGATATAAATACAAACACAGACATATATAAATATATTTTTAGATATATATATTGATGTAAATAAATTTACTTAACTAATATATAGCATGAAATATTTTGTAAATTTGCTTATGAATATAATTAAAAATAATTAACTTATATTTTATATAAAATTTATTAAGGCATAATATATATTAATGCATTTATTACATATTTAATTAATTACAAAATTTTATGAAGGTAATCAAATAAATTACTATTATGGTTTTTCTGTATCTTACGTCTAAGAAAAATCAAAACTCTTGGATTTCTAATCCATTTACTTCTTATCCATTTAGTATAATAAATCTTCATCAATAATTGTATTACCTTAATGTGCTCTACAACGGCCTTGTATGCATAGCAAGTGTCATTAATTCAACCTCATGAAATTAAGTAATTTGAATGCATGGCTAATACAATAGGACATTGTTAATGTCTGTTACTAATAAAACTAACTCATGAGTAATAAGTAAATTTATTTAAATTTAGAGAAATTCATATTTATATAAGAAAGTATTAAATTTATTTTGGAACGCATTACCATTAAAAAAAATAAAGTTTAATTGGAATATGAGGGACTATATTCAGCAGGTGCTCACTCTACATAATTTTGTTTATCCAAATAAAATTAAATAAAATCAATCAAATATATATGTAAATAAATATTATTAATTAAATAAATATGCAAAATTAAAAAATAAATATGCTTATAAAATTATGTTTGAAACTTTATAAATTTTACGAAAACTCATAGACTAGAAGTTTTCATAGTCATTGACATACCTCAGTAAAGACCGTTTAAAAAAAAATACCGGTACTAAGATTTGAACATCGAAATAGGAGTATTATTGATATTATATTACTATAAATGTTTTTTCATGAAATAAATTAAATTAAATTTAAATTTTTATGATATTTTCATCAGAAATTTTTCATTTTCATGACATAAATCTTTGTTTATGGTAGAAATAATTCCTTACGAATAAGTGAATTTTAAAAGCAATTTCACTAAATATTTAGTTACAGATATTACTTAATAGTCATTATCAACTATGAACTGAATTTAAAGACAACTGACTTGAAGTGAGAACCTTTATGGTTTTAATGTAAGGGAATTTTATCGCGTATAAAAGTACGAACCAAATTATTATCAAATAAATATAATTAATGCTTAATTATTGCTTAAATTTTTTTTAAATTTTTTCTACTAAAAAGTTGATTTATATAAAAACAATTTTTCCTCAATTTCTGCTTCAAATTGATTATACAAATTATTGATATTGCTATATCAAAGCATTGCTTCAAACGCCTTCTAAAATCTATACAATTCAATGCCAAAATCACTATCTAATTTCAGAATTATTATTGGTTCAATTATCTTTATATATTAGACAGTAAATGGCAGGCATTGAAATTTATAAAATTTTGGTTAATTTTATATAATTAACCTTAATTATACTTTCTTATCAAATTAAGAAAGGTTTTTTTTTAATTTAAGTTTGAATTTATACTTTTTTATATTTTTATAAGAAAGACTACATAATAATAATATTATAATATATAATATTGCACTTTTAAAAAAGGTGTACTTTTAATAATATTAAATACAAATACTTATATATACTAAAATACTACTAATAATACTAAGCAACTAAAAAAAAACTATAAAAGAACATACTAATATATGATACTAATAGTGGTACTTATACTAATATTTAAAAATTTTAATCTTTTAACGAATATTTACTTTGATTACATTTAGTGATTCCCATTTTTTTATTATTAATGCAGTAGAATTTGATCACCTAAGATTAAAGTCTCTTTGTTTAAGTTCTTATTAAATACTCACGAAGAATATAGAAACATTCAAATAAATGATTCACTATATAAAAAATATAATTTTGTTTATTAAATATATGTCGTCATAATACCTTTGGAGTACCTATTATATTAATATAAATATTAAAATTATGTAATATTAATATATTAATATAATATATAATAATATATATAATATGTATAATAATATATATAACAATAATATATTAATACAAAAATTAAATTTTAATATAATTCATAGCAAATTCCTTATATGATGTAAATATTTAAGTAAAAATGTATATAATAAATTAAGTACAGATTGATATAAAAATGTTACTCATACGCCATGTTAATTTTTGCACGCACAAGTAAATATTGCCGATTTCAATTTAGGGATATTTCAATATTTGTCTCAAAAAACTACTTAAATTTGTTTGAATCGAATATAGTCGAATCGAATAAATTTGTTATTTATTATTAAATTTAAATTAACTTCATAAAATATTAATTTTAAAAATACTATTTTTTGTTCGCATTCAATTTTGAACTCAACATTTTTATTTTCTTATAAAATTTAATTTAAATTTATTGAGAAGCAATTAAATTTGTTCATTAATAACCCAATTTTTTCTATTATGTTTTATCAGAATCATAAAAAATTCATAGTAGTCAAATAATTAACTGAGAACTTAATACTTGGAGTAGTAACTCATATATATCTTTCACATATATCTTTAATTATATGCAATAAAACTGAACAAAATCATAAACTTACAAATATAGATTCAACTAAAGCTTTATGAATATATGAATATATTTTAATTTAAGTTAGTAATGAAAAAATATTATGTTAAACATTATATTATAGTTAAGTGTTTTTTAAAACATATTTAAAAAGTTACTAATAATGTGGCCATAATACACCATAAACAGAATTACTACATTTTTTAGTGCTAGTAAATTATCAAGTAATAGTAGTAATTACATTTATTGTGATAATGAAAGTTTCCACAATCTAGTAAAATTAATTACTTTACTTATTAAAGCAATTGAGAAATAAGTACGGAAACATTAACAATTGGAATATAAACCAAATATGTTATATATATATTCACACCTACAAGCTATTTTATTTACAAGTTCAAATTTTGAATAGCCAAATTAAAATTTAATTAACCATAACGTACATAATTTAATTAAATTGAATGCAGAGGTGTTGCAAATTAAACCAAATCGATATTAATTGCAATTTAAATTTATTAGAAAATATTTAAAATTTAATGAAATAAGTAACATTTGTAATGTTCTTTGATTTAGAAATATATTAATAAGATGAATGTGTATAATCCAATATTAGTTGAGCTCAAATTATTTGTAAATATAATTGCTATTTCATGCCTGAAGATGTGTTCCTTAAGAATTAAGTACTAAATCATTTAAATAAGTTAATAGCAAAATTATTTACACTTCATTGTTTATTATATGTATGAGGATATGTGAAGTGATTATATATAAATAATATTTATTTTTCAATATAGTTTATTACTGCATTTCATCTTAGTGAGCAAGAACATAAATTTTTTTTCTGAATTAAAAAAGATATAAGATAACAATAACTATTAAGGTAAAACATATATTATGTGTGATATATAAGGTATATGATATAAAAACAAAATTTCAAGCAACTCTTTTCACTTTGACAAAATATATAATGTGTGTAACTCATTATACTAAAATTCAGTATAACTCAATATGTAAACCGAATAGGTTTTAGTAGTCACTAATTAGAATAGTCACCCTAATAATATATTGATATCATTTTAGTAAAATAAATTCAAAAAATTATTGTAAGAATTGTAAGATTGATGAGTATGACAATCAAGCTTGTCATATAAATCAACATCTTATATGGACTCGTTCAGAAAAGTCGTTTGTATGGTTTTATCTTTTCAGTTTTATTGCGTACTTTAGCGAATTATTGAGTAGACTATACTTTAGGGGTCTATAGGGTTGATTCCTCTATAGACTAGTAAAAGTTTATCGTCTATTTAGTTCAGCCATTTTAGTTTTATTGCCCAGTTCAGTGGATTGCATATGCTTTTGCATGATGTATCGTGTATTGCATGTGTTGTTGTGAGATCAATTTCAATAAGTAAAATTAGCAAATAGTAACTACACTTAATTACTATAAATAATTAAATAGTGAACAAATCATTTATAATTTTGTTTAATTAATACGTGTTTTAT